TCAGCAACTGTTTGACTCATTCATAGCAGCAGATTTCAATTTAACATCAAACATGATCAGGAGGAAAAAATGAGGGAGGCACTGATTGTGCAGTGTGTACCCAGGCACTGCTGCTGGGGTCATTGCCAGGAGTCCTGCCTGAGGCGTGCAGGACTGCGGAGTCTGTGCTTTGTCTGAGGACCACAGAGACACAGAACCTTGGTGTCCATGTGGGTAGAAAGACCGATGACTTTGCAAGGAATATGCATTAAGTACATTGTTTCGGGTAAATTGTGAGCAAGAACATAACACTTTCAAAAATAAGGTGAAGCCGAACAATTCGTTTACAGCTGAACTGCTTTCCTTGACGCTTCAGTATTGCAATTCCCTTTTTGTCTTCTTCCCCCCCCCCCCCCCCCTTTTTTTTTTTTGTTTTTCAAGAACCATACCTATAAAAAGTTGCGTGGACTTAGAATTTTATATATAGAATCTTGTTCGTATTTTAAGAGAAATAAACTTCTTCAAAGGCAGTCTAAATGCTTCTTTTAGGTACAAACCCAAAGCCTGGTAGCAGAAATGATCCTTAGAGAAGTTTTATTGACTCCGGGGGGATTTCAGTGCCGCTGGAGAAACTGAAAAAGCTGTTTCCAGCAAAGGCAAGGATTTAGCTCAAGAAAAAGGCTTCCCCCAACACAAACAGCTGCTTTTTTTTTTTTTGTCCCCCCCCCCCCCCCCAGTACTTGAAGCTACACTTTATATATTGTTATTCAGCCAAAGGAAATTGGGTACGTATTTTTCCTTCAAAGTCATCAATATGACTGGAGAAAAGAAAATAACTCATTTTCCTGAGAGTGCTTTCTGCTGGGAATAGGAGCTTTACATAGTCTTATATGGTGAATTACAGCCAAGGCGAATTGTCCCAATGGACTATACACCTAATACTGTACACCATAATAACTAATATGAAAAATACCTTATTTGTCGCCTTAGAAGTCACAGTAATAAAATCAAGCATAGTCTTCTGGCTCATAACAGATTAATATTACAGTATATTTTTATAAAGTGCTCTTATTTATCCTTCTGTAAATTAATTCAAATGCAGCAATAAAAATAGATGAATGGAAGTTAATGAAATGAGAAACAGTTATACATTTACATCTCCACAAATGTTCTTCTGAGCCTTTTTAAAGATGATTACAGAAGTGAATGTCAGAGGTCAGGCCTATGGTTTTGGGGATTTGTGCCATTGCTGCTGTATTGCTACAACAGGGTTGCAACAACACACGTAAAGGCAAGGAAGCAAAGAAAATCAAGGCAGTTGCCAGAATAAATATGTTCAAACACTGTTGCTGCAGCTTCTCAGATGAACAGTCTGCTCTTCTGAGTATCTCCTGAGGGAATACTAATGACCCTGGGAGTGATGGAAAACAGATCCGACATCTATATTACTCATTCATTTTGAAGTGGCAAAAAGTTTAGAATTCCACGTGCTTTGAGAAACAAAGGGAGATCAGCTGTGTCTCAAGGAAGAAATGGAAAAAACCCCATAACGATAGCGATCCTTATTTTTGTGCTGAGTTTTAAATTCATGGCTGGACTCTTAGCATAGAAACAATTAGGCAAAAAAGAAAGATCTTGGCAGAAATCTTTTGGATGTGACAATCAACATCACTATAAATAGCAGACAAAGAGTATTCCCTAGGATGGGATTGTGAAATGTCTTATAAGTTAACAGAGACAGGAAGAGACTTGACCTTTCCTGAAAGCCCGTGACTCCCATAGATCTCAATGGGGCTTTCATGTAGTCAGACCATTGCAGGCACGGGTTTTACGACAGCAAAGACAGTTTTTCAAAGACATACTGAGTTTCTCACCAATTCAAAAGGAAGGAGCACATCCCATAATATGGTTCAAATGGCTTATCTTCTACCTATTTGAAGCACCTTTGTGTATAAGTCCCATGCATGCTTCTCACAATGCTGGTGTAGCCTTTGGGAAGCAAAGAAGCTTCCTAAGGGAAGCAAAGAAGACAGAAATTCAGTAGCAAAATGCTCCACCTCTTCTACAGTTTTAACGTACAGTGAGCTTTCATTTCAATGAACAGATGTTAAGAGAATGCCGACCTAGCTTCAGCAGTGAATGCACAAGGCAAACGCATAGGCATGTAGTTAATTTAGCATGCAATTAACTGACTCTTTGCCTGGCACAGATTTTTCCATACGCCAGCGTGCTGCCAGTAACCCAAAGGGCAAGGCTATCACAGTTGCACTGACAAGGGCAGGGGGAACTGACAGAGAAGCAAAGGAAATGAATGTAGAAAGAAATGTTAATTTGTTTAGGAACTACAGAGAAAACTAATCACTTTCCACTGTGCTTTTCCTTCAACTTTGCCACCCCAGCGCTGTGAACAAATACAAAAGATTTGCCAGGTGCAAATTATGCATCAACAACTAAAAAGAGACTGGCCGGTAATCAGCCCTGCCTGCTGAAACGGGAACCTTGTATTAGCTGAAGTGGTCAGTCCCTGGGTTATTTTCTGTTTATTTAGTTAAGTAGCAACCCAGCCTCATGTGGAATGAGCAAATCGAGAAATGCAAGCCAAGAGTGACTTAAATTTTCCCAGAGAAACTGAAAGCTTTTTGATGGTTAAATATAGTGCTGCGTTGGACTAACACTATATTAAATATTCATTCAGGCTAAAAGCAGAGGAGTATACCAAAACCAACACTTCTCCTTCTCCCACATCCACAGAAACACCATCATAATTATCTTTTGAAACATCCCTGAGTTACTGTATCTACAGAAATACTATTATAAATCACAGTCTGCTATTCCAGTCCTATCCTTATGTGGGTGGGGTTTCTCTAGCATCTCATTCCTTCCTCCCCTTGTCTCCATCCTCTCTTCAAAGGACAATACGTCCCAAGTGGATAAGTATAAACATATGCTAAGTGTTTCTCAATATGTAATTTTGTGGAGCTGCCTAATCACATGTTGCTGGCATTCCTATTTATTTCCAACTGCTAAACAGTTTCAAATGACAGCTAGAAGTTTATAGACCAGTTTTCTAAAGATACTTTCAAGACAAGAAATTGGTGTGGCTGTCCAGTGTAGCAGAAACTGCTACAGTGAAAAAAATGGAAAGTCATCAATTAATGGGCAAGATGTGCTATGAAACAGCTTGGGAATGCTGGATATAAACCGGAGTAAACACTGTCTGTTATTCTTGGATATAATTCCCAACCAAGTCACAGATAATTTCACTTAATGTGAACCAGCATCCTCAGAGTGCACAACATTTTAGGGTACCCACACACCATCTCAGGCACATTTCTGGTACATAACCAAAAGTGTCTTTGAATGCAAGTTGGGAAGAGCAGCAGCTAGCTATAGGATAACTCTGGGTACGCTAACACCAATGACTGAAGAAAAGAGAAACCAACCTGCCTACCACTTCTCTGAATATCCAACAATTCCATTCCTCACAAAAAAATTCCTTAAGACTCTTCAGGAGGCCTTTGTAAAAGGTCTCCACCTCTAATACATGGTAGAGACCTACAGAATTCACAGTGAGTCAATATTTGTTAAATTATATAGGCCATTTTGCTTAGGATTGTAGCCATGGCATGCAAATGAGGACAAAAATACAACGGCAAGAAAAATTTTCGGTAACAACAAATGCTTAAATGAAGGATACTCTGACAATGGACTTATCTTGCATATCATTAATCATGCAAGTAGCCTTGGCTGGCTCAGGCCTGTGTGCATTTTTGGAGATATTTATATGAATGCAGATAAGCAAAAGCAGCTTATATTTATATTTTAATAGCTTCTACAGGCCAAACTCTACAGTTAAACGCATTATTCCGTTTTAAACCCATGACAGGTCTAAGCACAGACACTAAATGACCTATGTCCATAAACGTTTCAACTCCATTTTCTCCCATTTTTAAATTCACCCTATGCTCATATTCTGATTCATTCTCAGAACCTCTGAGATCTCCCCCCAGAATTGCACAGTTTGTTCTGTGGGTAGGGCCTCTGAAGGCCATGTGGCTCAGCTTTGCTACAGAACATTGCTAATAGTACAATGGCATTCACCAGTGTCTTAAAATTGCTGACTATTAATAAGCACCTTTAAAAACATTTCACAAGGTGATTATTGCGGTTGTAATTTCTTCTGACAGGATGAGTCAGCTATATTACATTGACAAAACACCATCTTGTTAATTCAGATGCCATGTGCTCTAAGAAACTTTTCTCTGACATTAGAGAGCTGTATGAATTGTTACTCTGCAAAAGACAGAGATACGAACATCCAACATAGTGGTCTAAATCCTGAAATTCTGGTTTATTCTTCATTCAGTCCTAACCCTGGCCAAATTCTATTAACCTTACATGGAATTTGGCTTAGCAATGAATTCAGGATTTAGCCATTCTCTAAAATATGGCATTATACTTGAAAGATGGCTTTCACTTCATACCAAATGCTACTGACAATCACGTTCAAAACACCTTCATTTCTTAGACTAATGGATTCAGAATTAGTTTATAGGTCATTATCCAGTACCCAATCACGACATCCGTGATCAATCTGAGTTGTGCCTTACTTGGGTAGTCTCATCCACATCAGGAAGCCCTCTGACATCAGTGGACAGGCTGAATAGTAAGGTGCTACCTACTTTGATTAAGACTAGTGTAACTAAGCCCGTGGTATTTTGTACATCAGGCACAGATTCAATGAAGGAACTACCACGCCTGTAGTAATACTGCCTTGTATTATATGATGCATCATGCTCACAAAGCAGCACAGCCCCATCATAAATTAAAGGCTGCACCTGCTTTGGGACAGCTGATAAAAACACATCGCACGTACATACAAATCTAAGGTCTTGTCTTGTTAGTAAATATTAGTTGTACTGATGTAACAAAATGTCTAGGATAATTTATTGACTTCTATGCATTAATCTTGCCCATGGATCTAAGCTCAGTTTAAAGTACAGCTAGGCACAAAAATACAGTGCTTGTTATTATTACAACAAATAGAAATCTTTATGGACTTTTTCCAAAAATATTTTAGCCATACAGTGCTAAATAGATCAGGTAAGCCACAAGAGTCACCAGAACACTTGAAAGTTTATGTAGTATTATATTTCTATTGTATTTGTAACCCTGAGTCCCTGTAGTGAACCGTACTGGCACTTTGATCTTCCCATTTTGCAGCATTTACATTCTCTGTGTCTTGAATGAGAGGGGAGGCGGGTGAGAGCACGTTGCACTGCATGGAGTGTTCTCCAGCTGCATCATCCACAGAGTTGTTACACAGAGAAGACAGATGGTTATGGATCATCGCTTGGCAAAAACACTACAATGACTTGATGAGATCTTTGCTAAGTTTCAGCTAAGAAATTAAGTAAGCAGAAACTGTAGATGTTAAACAGAAAAAAAAGAAATCTTCTTTAATCATGATATCTTTTGCCAGAAGATAGCTTCAGGGCTTATTAAAGACGAAGCTAGGAATCTCCTCCCTCAGTTTTCACGTTTCCAAGGCTCTTCTTCAACAACACTGAAGTCTGCAGATTTGCCATTGGTTGCCAGTGTTACCTGCAAGTAATTATCATGAACCAACTTAAAGGCTAAGGCACTTTGACAAAAAGTCATGAGTTTTATAAGGAAGATCATGGTATTTACAGGAATTACATACACTGTGTCATCTAATATATGTAAAATATATTTATTTAGAGTTCACAACACTCCCAAATAGTAAGACTCCTGTTCACTTATTATACTGACTAGAAAACATTAGCAGTAGAAAAAAAAATTCCCTATTTTCTTAGCCTTTGCTGTAGGCTTTTTTTAATAAATATTTCAGATTCTACTCCTTTCTGTCTCCTTTCGATTTCTCTGGATTATTTAAAAAACAGATTTTTTTTTTTAATGTAGAAAGTCTTTTTTTTTTTTTAAGTGGAATTCCTTTGCAAAGCAGCATCGCTGATGCAAGGACGTGAAAAATATGCAAGGCCAGAATAATGACAGATGTGTATCTATACACTTGCCTACAATTACACTACCTTTAAAGAAACAGAGGAAAAAATATTCTGTGAAAGTATTGTTCATTATACTACTATTTCTAACAATGTAGTGTAAGATTTTGACTATAGTCAGACCAAAAATTCATAGTAACACTATGTTTGTCTCACACAAAGTGCAGCAAAACATCACTTTTGTCTGCAAAAATACGTTAGGTATGTGCTAAAATTTTTAGGTTTTAACTACGGTAGAGGACCTACAGTGATCTACCAACTCACACTAAACGCTGGCCAGCATGTTGCATCACAGAAATCATTATACATACACCCATGCTTCAAGACAGATAGCTCCAGCCAAATGACTTTTTAAAAGTTTAAAAGGTAAAATGTGAATTTAACTTTACAAAAGTAATCTAGGTTTTTATAATAGTGAGAGAACCTTTCACTTAATTCTAAATGGATGGCTCACTATTTCCTAACTTACCTTGTAAGTTAACATCCTCAGCTTCAAATGTAAACTTAAAGACAGAGCTGAAATTCCCCATGCTGGATAAACTGGATGCATGGAAGCATTAGGACATGGAAACATGACAAAATGCACCGATTTTTTTAAACAAAGTAAAGGTTTTTCTTAGACAATTGAAACGGTGAAACATGCAAATGCAGGAATGAACAGCTTAGAAGTGAAAATCACAGACCCATGTGAAATATGATAATAAAAAAATACAAAAATATCGTGCAATAACAACGACTCTACCCCCATATAAAGGTAAATTACTTATTGAAAATACACACTGACCATGCAAAATTATAAACTGCTAGCATTATACATGGAATATATGACAGAAAGTAAATAGAAAGGACATGTTACTAGACCAGAGTTGCAGTGAGCTTTTCAACCCACCAGTGCATTTGACAGGATGAACAGCTGTCTCTTCAGATTTAAAAGCTGGCTGCTTCGAAGTCCCAAATCCTTCACCCTCTTGCTTTCGCTACTCTACACTTGGGAGCTGCAGACCACTTCAACATGATCCAAATACTTCACAAACATCAGCATACATTCATAGCTTACAAAGTCGACTGTAACATCACATCCTTTTGGCAGCTTGCAGCAGACACACTGATGAGACAAGTGACTGCTCAGTCTTGTGCTAAATCCAGTACACCCCAGCTCCTTTCATGAGTTTAAAAGTGCAAAAAGAGATCACAAGCAGAGCAACCCTAAAACAATGAAAAAGGACAAACACTTCTAGCTCATCAATCACTAGCCCAAAATTTTCATTAAAGGGTATGCTTAGGATAAAAACCACACCATTAATCCATATTTTTGAGGTGAGCTAATGCCTCAACTGAAGCAAATGGAAAGAGAAACTGAATGAAAAAAGAAAGTGTGACAAGTACTGGATCTTCAGGCTCCTACTTTCTAGCTTGACTTGGATCTCTGTGTAAATCTGAAAGACTGGAAGGAGATAAAATTATCAGTATTCAGTTCCATGAACCTGATTTAGACTGATATGTGTCAGCTGAATTCGTCTTGAACACACTGAAATTAGCACTATCTGTTTCACTGAAAAACAGTTTTCTATAAGTTCCAAAATAACTTAACCAAAGTGTGTTAATGAAAAAAATCTTTTCTTTTCAGGGAGTTTCTTTTTTCCTTCAATTTTTTAAGTCTTCTGTGTCCTTTCATTTTTTAAGAAATAAAAATTAATGACAATTTTTTTCATTCGGTATAAGCATGTATTCTCTTATAATTTCAAAGAAAAATTTCTTTAATTTTTCTCATGAAAAAACGTAGATTAGAAGAGGAAGGGGGGAGCCACATTGGAACAAAAAATTGGTTTTCATTTTAAAAAATAATTTTATTAAAAACTTGAAAGATTCAGGGAAAAAATGAGGATAAGTGAAGGTTTTTTCTTTCCTGAATTCAGTATTATTTTCCCCCTGAAAATACAGGTTTGGCCTGGCATTATCTAGAAGTAAGCATTAGAAAAATATATATTCTAAAGAGCATATCCAGCCAGGCTGGAGACAGGTGAAAGTGACATAATAGTACTTATATTTCCAATATATATGGTGATCTGCTAAGGGACGTTTGGCTAAATGGCTAAAGTAGGCTCACCGGAGAATTCACTGTGTCAAAGACAGTGTACAGGAGCTGATCAGAGTACTAATAAATTAAAAAAAAAAAAGACTATGAAATGAAAATTTCCAGCTTGTTTTACTCTCTCCTCCTTTTCAAAAACTCTTGATTTTAAACAGCCCCGTCCTAGTGGTGGGTCCTTAGTAAAGTTTTAACCCCTAACCTTCCCAACTGTTTTCTCATTCAACTGGTGGGGTTTCTCAAGCTCACTTTGCTCTGATCAAGATATTAGATTAATAATCTACATTAGTTACAGCAAGGATTAGAGACAGAATACAATGTTTGTGTCTTAATGACTCAGGAACGATGACAGAAGCAAAGCGTAAGCATGCTGTATGAGTGCAAGAGCATTCTGATGCTAAAGTGCATTCAACATGTCCATCTCTGAACAGCATATCATGGAAAGCAGTCAGCAAATGACAACACCTGTATCTGAATTGCAGCTATCCTTCATTTGAGTTGGCAATTAAGTTCTTTGTTGCCATAGAAAATTAAGTAACTGTCCATAGAAGGTGATGCCATATTCTCTGCATCTTGGCATATTCCATAATACGCTGCATCTTGCCTTTTGATGTGTAAACAATGTACATGATTTTTTCCCCTCAAATGACAACTTTTAAGAAGAGTGCAAAAAAACATCTTTTGGACTGCTCAAACTCATTCAAAATGTCTGGGGTTCATGGACCTTTTTGTCACATTGTTATTTGCAGAACAATTTGAAAAATACATGCAGGTTAAAAAATAAGATAAAATAAAGCATGCAGTGCTATATACATGTCTCAATATCCATAAACGTGAAAGGTACCTTGCACTCATCTACTATGACTGAGTTGTGAGCTGCAAAAACACATTGGTTTGAGTTGTTTTCCCTATGATTTTTCATGTCGTCGTAGACTGATTGAGTCTTGGTCATTTCAATGTCTTCGTGCCCTTTATGATGGGAGTCAATGGTGTCAAGTTCTGCCTTTGAAAGGTGGTAGACAATGCCAGCACCAAAAGAATCTCCCACTACATTGACTGACGTTCTCATCCGGTCCCTACAAAAGAAGCAAAGGAAGAGGCTGAATGTCATGAGAGGAAGAAGAAGTATGGCATGACAGCCCTGTTCACATTACAGTTCTTGCATTTATTTCAGAAAGTTTAAGGCATCTTTAGAACAGAAAGATGGGAGCTTTCAAGTGAAATTGAAAAAGCTTGCTTTCCCTGCAGACTTGTTCAGACAGAGAGGGATGTGCAAGCTCCCATGTGCCAGATGCTCATACTCATGGATTTTTGGCAAAGAACTTGTGCTACAGACACAACCGAACTGCAGAGCTGTGCTTGACTGACATCTCCCCAGCACCTGCTTGTGGAGCTGGAGGTTTCAATGTCAGGGTGCCAGGCGGGACCTAACAGGCTCACATCATTGTCCATTGTGAAATCTGAATTTATCAGAGGGCTGAACTTAGCGCAGCTAGAGAGAAGGACTTCGGATCTGATGAAGTGCTCTCATTTTTGGATGGATTAAAAAACGGCCTCTCCCTTTATTTTCAATGAGCCAACTATGGGGAAAAAAATGCCTGAAATATCTCCATAAGGCCCAGGCCATCGAAGCTCCTCTCCTGGCACCACCTTTACAGATGGTCATCTGTTAGCATGGCAGCATGCCCACTCACACTGCTCTATGCCAGAGCCTGGCATATGAGCCAACCAAATATAGGTCATGGCCTACAAAATGATGAGCCTGTGACAGCATTTCAGTGATGAGTGCCTTCCTTGTAGGAGGGCGCCAAAATAGGCTGACACGCTTCATTACAAAGAAACATGCGTTTCGGCACTTCGTGGAAAGGATGCCATTGGAGAGACATTTTTCTTGTATGTTGTTTTTAGAGTGTGGCTCTATCGGTCAGCAGTGAACTCATGGTTGTGGATTTTCCCTGATTTCAGAATTCTGCCCCAGAGCTGCCCAAAATTCTGCAAAAATGGGAGATGATCTTACAAAGCACTGCAGGTTTATGGGCTCCTGCTATCTTTCCTACTGCAGGTATGCCGCATTACACATATTGAAATAATTTACAATCTAATTTGCCTCTTCATATCTGAACTAAACTTAAGACTCCTAAAAACCTTCTGACCAAGGATTTCAATTTAAGGCTACGGCAGCAACTGAGTCTAGCTTTGTCAAACAGGTCAGAGAAGTGATTACATTGATTAATATTCAGAGGTATATCCACAAAGACTCATTTACACAAAACGGGTAGGTAGAACAGTGTGGACATTTGCCAAGGAACAGAAAAACAAGCATGTGATACCTCATTTCCTATGGCAGTGATTAATTTGAAAAACCGCTTTCTAGTTGTTCTGGTAGTAGATTTATGTGACATCTCCTCTTCCTGAAGAACACTGAGAAAGAAACCCTAAATATATATAGATAGATATATAAACCCCACACTGATACACACTCATTACACATGCCTATTCTTAGCCATTAATTTTGAGCCCTTTTGAGCCCTTTTTAACATCTTTGCTCTAATGATTTGTAAACCTGCCTTTCCAGGCTGAATTCCCTTTCACGTTTATCCTCTTCCCCTCCACATTATCATGCCTACATATCTGGAGTTTGTGGTGTCATATCTTAGTTGAAGCAGTTCATTTTTATTTTTTTGTCATAGAATGGTTTGAGTTGGAAGGGACCTTAAAGATCATCTAGTTTCAAGCCCCCTGCCCTGGGCAGGGACACCTCCCGCTGACCAGGTTGCTCAAAGCCCTGTCCAACCTGGTCTTCAACACCCCCAGGGATGGGGCAGCCACAGCTTCTCTGGGCAACCTGTTCCACTGTCTCAACACCCTCACAGCAAAAAATTTCTTCCTAATATTTAATTGAAATCTCTTTCAGTTTAAAACCATTACCCCTTGTCCTATCACTACACTCCCGGATAAAGAGTCCCTCCCCAGCTTTCCTGTTGGTCCCCTTCAGGTACTGGAAGGCTGCTATAAGGTCTTCCCAGAGCCTTCTCTTCTCCAGGCTGAACAACACCAATTCTCTCAGCCTGTCTTCCCAGGAGAGGTGCTCCAGCCCTCCGATCATCTTCACAGCCCTCCTCTGGACCAGCTCCAACAGGTCCTGTCTTTCCTGTGCTGAGGATGCCAAAGCTGGATGCAGTGCTCCAGGTGGTGTCTCACCTGTGCCAGGTAGAGGGGCAGAATCACCTCCCTTGCACTGCTGGCCACACTTCTCCTGATGCAGCCCAGGATGGGGTTGGCTCTCTGGGCCGCCAGTGCACACTGCTGGCTCATGTTGAGCTTCTTATCCACCAACACCCCCAAGTCCTTCTCCTCAGGGCTGCTCTCCAGCCATTCTACGCCCAACCTGTATCTGTGCTTGGGATTGCCCTGACCCAGGTGCAGGACCTTGCACTTGGCCTGGTTGAACTTCATGAGGTTCACATGGGCCCATCTCTCCAGCCTGTCGAAGTCCCTTTGGATGCCATCCCTTCCCTCCACTGTGTTGACTGCACCACACAGCTTGGTGTCGCCAGTAAACTTGCTAAGGGTGAACTCAATCTCACTGTCCATGTCACAGACAAAGATGTTAAATATTACTGGTCCCGGTACTGACCCCTGAAGAACACCACTCGTCAGTGGTCTCCACTTGGACATCGACCTGCTGACTGCAACCCTTTGAGTGAGGCCATGCAGCCAATTTCTTATCTACTGAGTGTATCATCTGTCAAACCCATGTCTCTGCAGTTTAGAGACAAGAATGTCATGCAGGACAGTGTAATCAAAAGAATATCCAGAAGCAAAAAAACCGCCTGCAATAATCCCCTCAAAACCCAACAGCCCACAGGAGGAAAACATCCTTCCAGTTTTGCTTCACAGAAATGAAATGCTTTATACAGTTCTCTTCCCATGCCTGTGAAGAGTGTTTTAAACCTGGTCAGAGCGGTAAAATAGGAAAATACGACTTTCTAAGTGTAATTTTTAATTAAGACCATCAAATATACTGAACCCCACAATATAGGTCCACGAAAAGAACATCTACTTAATTTTTTTGTATAAGTGGTATTTAATTTTGAAAGGAATCACTGATGCCAGATGATGGAAGGATAGCATAGGATGACAAAAAACAAGGTGGAGAGAATATATAGATCTAATTGAGGCATGATTCAAATTCTGAAAGGGTTATTTGAGGAGATGCTCCAGCCCATATGCATGTACTACTAGCCAAGAGATTCAGCAATACAAACTGCACACTGCTGCAGAACATGCTACACTGCATGAACCAAGTAAACAAGTTCCTTACAACAGAAAGACAAAGTCTCGGCTTTCAGGAATCAACAGCAAAGGGCCAGTGTCCACTTTTGGACCAAAGAACACCCCAAGAAGAACAAATAAGATAAGAAGACTGCATTTACTCTTTTTCTAAAAACAACCAACCAATTAATTCCAGCTATGCTGGAATGATGCTAACAAAATCAATGTAGGAAAGTTGCAGCCTAGTAGATGACTTGTTCCAACACAGCTACTTCTACACTGTCCGTAACAGCTTCTGAGGGGAATAACGGGACTGAAGTCAAAGTTCTCTCTCAAAAGTCAACTCAACATCTGGTAAAAATGGGCTTTGGATAAACTGGGAAGTAATTATTTAAATCCTGGTAAGTGTTAATGTCTAATTTCCTCAAACTGGCATAAATGAGAAGAACTGGAAGCTTAACAATGTAGAAGAAAGGAACAGAAATGAGAAGAATTGAATCAAGGTCCCTTGTTATTAATGTCATAGCACCTATATAGTGTGCTAGTGTGAAAAAAAGGTTACTTCTGTTTCCTGAAAGCTTGAAAACCCAGTATATCAACCTTACTAGATTTTAGAGAGGAGATTAAAATCTTAGTACACCTGATCAGTCAAAGACCAGGTGACATGTTTTCTATAGCTTAATTGGATTTACATAAGACCCTGTCCAGACGTCACCTGGGTCTGAAGACTCTGAGTTTAGATCTGCAACTGGAAGAGACTCATAACTCAAACTATATTTCTGAGTTACTGAATGAAGGTTTAAATACCAGATCAGCTGTCCAAGCCCATTTTTCTCTAATTCCTCTCTCTTCACTGCAAAATACCACTCTATTTGGGGTTGTGCTGTGATATTTGCTAAGCTTGTCAGTCTCACACCTGGAATGTAGCCAGCTTCTGGTTACAGTAAAAGAAGCTGTTTTCATATTCCAGCTGTTGGCATGTAATTACTGTCCTATTTAATGTCACTGCTGAGTTGTGCTTAGTTTTAAACTAAGAAACTATGAGAGTTGTGAAATCTTGGGAAACTTGCCTGATGAAAGAGCTCACACTGTGTCTGTACGTGTGGGAGGGGGAAAGGTTGAGCAACCTCATCTCTAGATATTGGAGAGGCTTGAGAAGAAATCAGTACAGAAACCTTTTGGCTCCAATTTGAAGGAAAGCGTGCCAAGTTTAAGGAGAATCAAAAGTCAGATTTATGCTACACCATGACCAAATTGTGAAAAACTGTTCTGGCAGTTTCAGATGATAGGAGTAGTGTAAAATCAATTGATTTCATCAGAAATATTGAAAAACTCATAGAGTAGGATTTTTTTTAAAAGCTTTCATTATCTGGAATTGAAATGTTTCAAAAGAGCTATTCCAAATTGTTGGGGCCTTAGCGATACTGAATGAATACCAGGGTTTGTGAACCAAGGCCATGAGCTAAAACTAAAGGATACAGTTGCAATTTAAGTTATCAGAAAAGTAAGAAAATGCGGATGGGAAAATGCTGATAGCAAGAATTATACGCATATAGCATCTTTTTAGACTAACCAATCACTTAAGGATTAAGGGCGCGTGGACAACGCGTGCTACCCAATCAAGCTTGCTCTATCTTGCGTGCTCGGCGCGTGATCGCGTGTACAGGAGAACAGAAAGAATATATAAGAATGCAGCCTGTTTAATAAAGTTGGATTTGAACTTGCATCATACTGGTGCGTCGTTCTTTCCCGCTCGCTAGAACGGCGCGCAGCACCAAATATTTCTGTTTTCAATCACACACTGGTTCCAGAAAAGTGGCTAGAATTCAGTCTTAAATATTTTATTAACTTTCTTTTCTACATTCGATTAAAATAATGCTGTAATGTAATTTTGTGATCTAAAGAAATGGAAGAAGACAACATTTGTAAGTAAAGAAAATATCTTTTTATGAACTTTCATTTCAGATATTCTTTAGGTCTGGTTTGTATGCCCAAAACCTTGCTCAAAAGTTGGCTTGTGTGCCTTTTCTTAACATCAGCACTGTCAGCAGTATTGTTTTCATATCTCATTAGATCATCATGGCTACCATAACACAACCACTGGAAGATGGAAAATAAAGTTATTACCTGTTGACATATTTTAATTAGCACAATACTTCCACCAGCAAAATTTTTCTTAGGACTAGTGGCATGGCACAGAGCTTTTAATCTCCTTTTTTATCTCTTTTCCCTCTACCTTTCAATTCTGAACCACACTGCAATTCCACTCTTTATTCTTAGGCCAGAAGGATCCAAACCCAACCATTTGTGCTGAAATGATTCTTTTGCCTAGCTTTTTTTTGGAAAGACACCTTGAAATATTTCTTTCAGAGGTACTGTCCTTCCTATGCTGACATTTACCACCACTACAGCTCCACAGTTTTTATTTCCTAGGCAGGATTGGATGAGCCAGGGGTAACAATGCTGCTGAAATGCAACACCTACTAGTGAATCAGAACTGCTAGCAAACTCACAGCTCTGAGGTTTGCTAGTGTGGGCAGAGCTTCTCAGTCCACAGGAATATTTTTAAATGACATTTTCCTAAAAGAGCAAACAAACCATGGGCTCCTTTTGCACATCCTCCTACCAGCTGCAGAAACCTACCTATTTGCTTTACTTTGACAGCCAGCAAAAACATATATTTAAAACAAGTCTGCACTTTTTTTTTTTCTCTCTTACTCCCAGCTGCAGATTCTTATGCTGCTTTCCTGTTTTCAACCATGACCTCATAAATATAATAAACACATAGAATATCATAGTTTTCCCTTCTCCAGCTGTACTCTTTCTGCTGAACTCTGCCTCATTTCACCATTCTGAGTCATGATATCATGATATTCAGTTATATACAAAATATGTTATCTTTTCCCTTTGCCTTCCCAAACTGTAAATTCCTGCCCTGTAACTGGCTGACAACATCCCGATGGAAACTGTGTTTTCAGCATTCATCCTTAATTTTAGACCAGAACTATAGGAAACAGAAATATGAAAGCAAAGATCAGAAAACTGGTTGTCTGATGGAGAGGCACCATTAGGAAGGAAAATCATAGAATCATAGAATTGTCTGGGTTGGAAGGGACCTTAAAGATCATCTAGTCCAACCATCAACCTAACTCCGACAAAAAAATAAATAAGAAATAAGCAATAAAAAATCATATATGAGTCTGAACCCAAGGACCTTACAAGAGGATCCTTGGCTCATGGAAAATGACTTCAGTATCTCTAGAACAATGTGTACCAGCTGAAAATCTGCTTTCAGTGTCTCCTCCTTCATCAAATAGCCACTTTCCTCCTTGGCTTCATCTGCAGAGGAGAGTCTTACACTTCTTTAAGATCAGCAGTTGAAAAGCACTACAGATAAGCATTACTTCACTACTTCTTCTGCACTGAACAGTGAAGTCAGCACAACTTACAAAAGCCAGTCAACAGCAACAAGCAAACTGATGTCCTGGGTAGGGAGACCCACTGCAGTAAGGATCAGAAGCATAGTGACAAGTCCCGCGCTGGGAATACTGGCAGCTCCAACACTTGCAAGGGTGGCGGTCAAACTGCAAAACCAGAAATCAAATGAGAGTAGCAGGAAAACTGACATTCATTTCATTGCATACTCATGTGATCATTAGAAAGGTCTTTTAATGAGTTCTTCCCAGTAAACTACCAACTATATGATAAATCATGGTAAGCTCAAGCCATAGTTTTCATGCTTGTGTTTCTCCAAAAATATTTATTAAAGGAAGACAGATTCATGGGGTTTGTTCTGAGAGTTGTAAGAGAGTTGTCTGGGAGTTTTAAGTTCTGTAAACTGGTTATGACATTCACATCTTTGGCCTGGTATTGTTTTCTGAACTCTACCAACACATCCAGCTTTTTGAATCCTGAGCTTTGATCATCCAGACTTGCTGAAGTTTGGCAACTACAAGTTGAATTTTTAGGGTGGTCCATTTCTGTTTATTTATGCTAATTGAAGACTGAATTGTGAGGTAGTGCCTGCAAGAAAGTGGTTATTATCAGGTACAGAAGAGTAGTCGTCTTAGTATTCAAAATTCCCACAGTACAAGCCAGAAGTGTACCAAGCCTAGATACAAATCACCTAGATGAAAAAGCAATACTCATCTGACTGTTTCATAAAAACAAACCTATCTCTGTTTTTGCCCCTCATTTTTTGATGAAGACCAGTAGAGTGAATGTCTGTGCTCCAACTGTTTGTAAAAATACAACACAGACCATAACAAATATCAACATTATCGGGGAATCTTATGAAGAATGGAAAATAAATTTGTCAGAGAACAAGCCAAAGGGAGAAAAACAGGGGAGAGAGAGGGGGAGAGGGAGAGAAAGGAACAAGGAAAACGGAACAAGAAAAAGTTATCTGTGTCTTTTTAAACACAGGGATGAGTAACGTGGTTGTACTTCTGTGGGTGTACCCCAAAAAAATCTAAAAGCACTTTCAAAACAGAAGTAGAGGAAAAAGGTCTCTATGGGGGCACATCCTTGGCCACTAGCCAGAACTAATCCGTGAGGACGTTAGCCTGATTTAGAGCTGGCAGATGGCTGGGTCTGACCCAGACAATCCAGGTCGCAGTGTGTTTGTCAGGTGTCTGGATTACAGTGTCACCTGGTCTATGATGCGCCCAGGTAGGTCCAGCAGGTATGCAGGAAGGATGCTCTGCTCTGCCATCAGGCTCTGTGCACAGTGCCAGCTCCTCAGGCTCTTCCAGCCTGAACTGGAAAGTGATTGCTTCCAAGCTCTGTGAGGAAATGCTCACAGCAGCGCTTGCGGGCTGGAGGGGAATGAAGTTCAGGTTCACTGTTCAGGTCTAAACAGAGTCTGCCTTAGCTGCAATTTCCAAGATCACCCTCTCTGAAAGAAGATCTTATGTAGATTAGACAGTCTACATGACCAATATGAACTAAGTAGGGCTGGTCGAGGGCTAATTAAGTTTTGGTGAGTTTATGACTGGGTCATTTGAATATCCTCATATTACAAACTGGGTTTGACAGACAAAACCTAATAACCTTTCATTCATTTGTATTGCCACCTCAAGAGATAGTTCTTGTCATATTGTTGTAGAAAAAATACATATAATCATAGAATGGTTAGGGTTGGAAGGGACCTTAAAGATAATCTAGTTTCAAGCCCCCTGCCAGGCACCTCTCACTAGACCAGGTTGCTCAAAGCCCCATCCAGACTGTCTTCAACGCTTCCAGGGAGAGGGCATCCACAACTTCTCTGGGCAACCTGTTCCACTGCCTCAACACCCTCACAGCAAAGAATTTCTTCCTAATATCTAATAGAAATCTCCCCTCTTTCAGTTTAAAAGCATTACCCCCATCCTATCACTACACTCTCTGATAGAGTCACTCCCCATCTCTCCTGGAGCCCCCTTTAGGTACTGGAAGGCTGCTATAAGGTCTCCCTGGAGTCATCTCTTCTCCAGGCTAAACAACAGCCAGCTCCTCAGGCTCTTCCAGCCTGAACTGGAAAGTGATTGCTTCCAAGCTCTGTGAGGAAATGCTCACAGCAGCGCTTGCGGGCTGGAGGGGAATGAAGTTCAGGTTCACTGTTCAGGTCTAAACAGAGTCTGCCTTAGCTGCAATTTCCAAGATCACCCTCTCTGAAAGAAGATCTTATGTAGATTAGACAGTCTACATGACCAATATGAACTAAGTAGGGCTGGTCGAGGGCTAATTAAGTTTTGGTGAGTTTATGACTGGGTCATTTGAATATCCTCATATTACAAACTGGGTTTGACAGACAAAACCTAATAACCTTTCATTCATTTGTATTGCCACCTCAAGAGATAGTTCTTGTCATATTGTTGTAGAAAAAATACATATAATCATAGAATGGTTAGGGTTGGAAGGGACCTTAAAGATAATCTAGTTTCAAGCCCCCTGCCAGGCACCTCTCACTAGACCAGGTTGCTCAAAGCCCCATCCAGACTGTCTTCAACGCTTCCAGGGAGAGGGCATCCACAACTTCTCTGGGCAACCTGTTCCACTGCCTCAACACCCTCACAGCAAAGAATTTCTTCCTAATATCTAATAGAAATCTCCCCTCTTTCAGTTTAAAAGCATTACCCCCATCCTATCACTACACTCTCTGATAGAGTCACTCCCCATCTCTCCTGGAGCCCCCTTTAGGTACTGGAAGGCTGCTATAAGGTCTCCCTGGAGTCATCTCTTCTCCAGGCTAAACAACACCATCTCTCTCAGCCTGTCTTCATAGCAGAGGTGCCCCAGCCCTCTGATCATCTTTCTCATCTTCCTCTTGTCTGACTCCAACAGGTCCACGTTGTTCTTGTGTTGGGGGTCCCAGAGCTAGACACAGTACTCCAGGTAGGGTCTCATCAAAGTGGACTAGAGAGGCAGAATCATCTCCCTTGCACTGCTGGCCACACTTCTTATGATGCAGCCCTGGATGAGGTTGGATTTCTGGGCTGCGAGAGACCAATGATAGCTCGTGTTGAGCTCTTTATCCATCAACACCCCCAAGTCCTTCTCCTCAGGGTTGCTCTCCAGCCATTCTCTACCCAGCCTGTAATTGTGCCTGGGATTGCCCTGACCCAGATGTAGCACCTTGCACTTGGCCTGGTTGAACTTCATGAGGTTGGCACAGCCCCACCTCTCAATCCTGTCCAACCATCCCTTCCCTCCAGAATGTCGACTGCACCACACAGCCTAGTGTCATCAGCAAACTTGCTGAGGATGAACTCACCCTCACAGCAAAGAATTTCTTCCTAATATCTAATAGAAATCTCCCCTCTTTCAGTTTAAAAGCATTACCCCCATCCTATCACTACACTCTCTGATAGAGTCACTCCCCATCTCTCCTGGAGCCCCCTTTAGGTACTGGAAGGCTGCTATAAGGTCTCCCTGGAGTCATCTCTTCTCCAGGCTAAACAACACCATCTCTCTCAGCCTGTCTTCATAGCAGAGGTGCCCCAGCCCTCTGATCATCTTTCTCATCTTCCTCTTGTCTGACTCCAACAGGTCCACGTTGTTCTTGTGTTGGGGGTCCCAGAGCTAGACACAGTACTCCAGGTAGGGTCTCATCAAAGTGGACTAGAGAGGCAGAATCATCTCCCTTGCACTGCTGGCCACACTTCTTATGATGCAGCCCTGGATGAGGTTGGATTTCTGGGCTGCGAGAGACCAATGATAGCTCGTGTTGAGCTCTTTATCCATCAACACCCCCAAGTCCTTCTCCTCAGGGTTGCTCTCCAGCCATTCTCTACCCAGCCTGTAATTGTGCCTGGGATTGCCCTGACCCAGATGTAGCACCTTGCACTTGGCCTGGTTGAACTTCATGAGGTTGGCACAGCCCCACCTCTCAATCCTGTCCAACCATCCCTTCCCTCCAGAATGTCGACTGCACCACACAGCCTAGTGTCATCAGCAAACTTGCTGAGGATGAACTCACTCCCACTGTCCATGTCACCCACAAAGATATTAAACAGCACCAGTGCTGGTACCAACCCCTGAGGAACACTACTTACTCATTACTGGTCACCACTTGGACATTGACCCATTGCCTGCAACTCTATGAGTGGGGCCATCCAGCCAATTCCTTACCTGCTGAGTGGTCCATTCACCATATTCATATCTCTCCAGTAAAGAGGCAAGGATGTTGTCCAGGACAGTGTCAAATGCTTTGCAGAGTCCAGGCAGATAAAGTTTGTTTTTCTTCCCTTATTCACCAACACTGTAACCCCGTCACCAAATTTGCCAGACATGATACGCCTTTAGTGATGACACAGTGGCTGTCATGCATCATCTCCTTATTTCCTACATGCCTTAGCATATTTTCCAGGAAGATCTACTCCATGATCTTGCCAGACACAGAGATAAAACTGACTGGTCTATAGTTCCCCAGGTCTTCCATTTTTCCTTTTTTAAAAAGGGGGGTTATGTTTCCTCTTTTACAGTTGATGGGAACTTCACTGGACTGCCATGACATCTCAAATATGATGGATAGTGGCTTAGCTACTTCATCCGCCAGTTCCCTCAGGACCCACAAAGGTATCTCATCAGGTCTCATGGACTTGTGCACCTTCCGGTCCCTCAGCTGATCTTGAACCTGTTCTTCTCGTATGAGAAGTTGGCAGCTCCTCAAACTCCCAGTCCCTGCCTTTGCCTTCTGTGAATTGGCTGGTGTGGCTAGAGCACTTGCTGGTGAAGATCGATGTTAAAAAGTCAGTGAGTACCTAAGCCTTCTCCATGTCCTGGATAACCAGGGCTCCAATTTCCTCCCAGAGAGGGCCCAAATTTTCAGTAGTCTTTCCTTTATCACCGACATACCTATAGAAGCTTTTCTTGCTACCCTTGATGTCCCTGGATAGATTTAATTCTATTTGGGCTTTAGCTTTCCTAACCTGGCTGCTTGAAAAATTTCTCTGTATTCCTCCCCGCCTACCTGTCCTTGCTTCTACCCTCTGTAGGCTTCCTTTTCGAGTTTAAAGTTTCTTGAGGAGCTCCTTGTTTATCCATGCAGGCCTCCTGGCGTTTTTGCCTGACTTCCTCTTTGTTGGGAGGTATCACTCCTGAGCTTGGAGGAGGTGGTGGGTGAATATTAGCCATCTTTCTTGGGCCACTCTTCCCTCCAGGGCTTTATCCCACAATACTCTACCAGGCAGATCCCTGAAGAGGCCAAAGTCTGCTCTCCCAAGGTCCAGGCTAGTCAGCTTACTGTGCACCCTCCGCACTGCTGTAAGGATCTTGAACTCCACCATCTCATGGTCATTGCAGCCAAGGCTGCCCTTCAGCTTCACATTTCCCACCAGCCCCTCCTTGTTGGTGAGACCAAGCTCCAGCATGGCACCTCTCCATATTGGCTCCTCTATCACTTGGAGAAGGAAGTTATCATCAACACATTCCAGGAACCTCTTGGGTTGCTTATGGCCTGCTGCGTTGTCCCTCCAACAGATGCCAGGGTGGTTGAAGTCCCCCATGAGGATTAGGGCTTGCGAACATGAGGCTGCTCCTGTCTGTCTACAGAGGGCTTCAGGCTCTTGGTCTTCCTGGTCAGGTTGCCCGTAGCAAACCTCCACTGTAACATCATCTGCCTGTTCTCCCTTTAATCCTGACACGTAAGCTCTCAGTTGACTCCTCATCCATCTCCAGGCGGAGCTCCATGTCCTCCAGCTGGACATTGACATAGAGGGTGACACCCCCTCCTCAGCTCCCCTGCTTGTACCTCCCGAAGAGCCTGTAGCCTTCAAAAATGCTATGCTGCATAAAGAGGATAACTAATGGTTTTCTTACAGATAGCCCAATGTTGCTGCCTGCTAAGTAAATGCGAGTCACAAAGCGGGCTACACCAGCCTTGAAATGGCGAGATCAGGAAGAGATAATGGGTCAGTCCCTCAAAGGAAGAGAAAAGGTGTAACTTGGTTTCAAGCCCACCAAATCTCTTGGAGAACAGCCAATTCCTGACTTCAATTTCCCTGAAGTCTCAGTTCAGTTTAATCATGGCATCTCTGAAATGACTGATTTCAGTCTTAACAACAAATATATATCATAGAGATCTAGCATCTGCCTTTGTTAGAAGCTGCCCCGAGTCTTTTAGATACCTTGGCTTTACTATTTCAGGGATTGGGGCAGGAGGTAAAGAAATGGAAAATGTGGAACTAGTATAAGCTGGGTAAGAAACATAGAATTAGACATCCCTTTGCAAGAGTTTCTTTAGTGTTACAAGGGTTTAATGAAAGAAACGTGGGTGGATGAAAACTACAGGAAAAAGGCAAACTTGGCAGCCTTCAATTGTGGTTTCCATTTTAACTATTCAAAATATTAGGCCTGGTGTCTTCATCAAGTTTTCAATTTTAAATTAACTTTAGCTGCAGCAGTTGTAACTTTGCCATTGTTTTTTATTAGTCATCCTACATAATAAGTCTTAAACCTCCATTACAGTAAACAGGCTTCGATCACTCTTACACATTTTTAATGTCCTTCCAGATAATCAGCTTAGTCATAGATAAGAGAACTTAATATGAAAAGACTAGAGCTAATATTTGCTGGGTTAGAGATAAAATGTCTGGGAGTATCCAAACCATGCTGCAGGCAATCTCATGCTCAGGCTGGTCTATTTTCAGTCCATTTTGTTCACCAAAGTCACAGAAAAAGTACAGGCAAACATAAATACATGGATATGTATTTTTAGGTACATTTTTTTCATCCAATATATATGAACGGACACATTCTAAAAAGTTAATGCCCCATATATCACTCGTAGTGACCCTCTATACTGAAAAAGGACAGTGAATGCTTTATTTCACATTGTATTGAAAACTGCAAAACTGGTGTAAAACATCACCAGCATGCATTGAAGCTACAAATCATAAAAAATGCATGTCACCAGAGAACCAGGACCTATGTATATGACATTTCTTTGAATATCATTATTAGAAATCCATGGATTTCACAGTGAATCCCACAGCTACTGAGAAAACATCCAACCCAAAGTTTCACATATCGTTTTTATAGCATGTGGAAACAAAGTTTACAGTACTGACCTCACAGTAACGATCTGGCCTCCATCTAGCTCAATTCCATTCATCTGTGCTATGAAGATGGCAGCAACAGCTTCATAGAGGGCAGTTCCATCCATGTTAATGGTTGCTCCAACAGGAAGAACAAACCTTGTTACACGCTTATCAATGCCTAGATTTTCTTCAAGACACCGGAATGTCACAGGTAATGTTCCAGCACTGAAGTAGAGAAAGCAAAAAAGTAGAGAAGAGATAATTACAATATAATATAAATATGCAAGGGAGCAAAGTCAGAAATTGCCAAGTGGCGTCCCACAGGGGCCTGTGCCAGGACCGGTACTGTTTAACATTTTTATCAATGACATAGACAGAGGGATTGAGAGCACCATCAGCAAGTTTGCAGATGACACCAAGCTGTGTGGTGTTGTCGATACACCAGAGGGATGGGATGTCATTCAGAGGGACCTGGACAGGCTGGAGAGGTGGGCCCAGGTGAACCTCATGAGGTTCAACAAAAGCAAGTGCAGGGTTCTGCACCTGGGCCAGAACAATCCTCGGTATCAATACAGACTAGAGGATGAGATATTAGAAAGCAGCCCTGAGGAAAGGGACTTGGGAGTGCTGATGAATGAGAAGCTGGACATGAGCAGGCAGTGTGCAGTTGCAGCCCAGAAGGCCAATCGCATCCTGGGCTGCATCAAAAGAAGTGTTGCCAGCAGGTCCAGAGAGGGGATTCTTCTGCTTTACTCTGCTCTGGTGAGACCTCACCAGGAGTATTGTGTGCAGGTCTGGAGCCCTCAATATAGGAAGGACATGGACCTGATGGAGAGGGTCCAGAGGAGGGCCACAAGGATGATCAGGGGTTTGGAGCACCTCTGCTACGAGGACAGGCTGAGGGAGCTGGGGTTGTTCAGCCTGGAGAAGAGGAGGCTCCGGGGAGACCTAATAGCTGCCTTCCAGTACCTGAGGAGGGCCTACAGGAAGGCTGGGGAGAACCTGTTTAGAAAGGCCTGTAGTGACAGGATGAGTTGGGAAAGGGCAGATTTAGATTAGATATTAGGAAAAAGTTCTTTACTGTGAGGGTGGTGGAACACCAGAACAGGGTGCCCAGGGAGGTGGTTAAGACCCCTTCCTTCAAGATATTCAAGGTGAGGCTTGATGGGGCCCTGGGCAACCTGGTCTAGTTGGGGGTGTCCCTGCTGACTGAGGGGAGGTCGGACTAGATGACCTTTGGAGGTCCCTTCTGGCCTGGGCCATTCTATGATTCTATGATAAATTCTGCAATCATTGTTTAGACTTTCTATTTTCACTTTCTGCTGTGATTCAAGCCAATTTTTAAATTAGCCTCAGTCCCACCTCCAGCTAAATGGAGGCTTAAGACACTAACATGATTTGAAGTAGGGGTGAGACCTTGAGACAGAGTAGATGATTTTTTTAAACTAATTTGTGAATTATTTCTTGCATTTTTTTCAAAAAAAAGACAGGTTCCTGATGTTTTCAGATGGACAGAACTATGAATGTAGAGACAATTCCTAAATTTCTTTGACTGTGAATTTGCTCTGGAGAAACCAGTGTTGCATTAAGGAATGAAAAAGCCAGGCAAAAAGATACAACCCATGCAGTTTCCAGATACTGAAGGAAAGGAAAGGACACGAAACACAGCTGGAGGATAGGAAAAGACGAGAAAGACCGCTGGAAAAAGGGTACATGTCCTTGCACAGATCCACAGTGACTTGTCTTTGTGGGAATAGTTCAGGCTATTACATTCACTTGCTCAAATAAAACTAGTCAAAAAATACTGCTGAAACCAGAACATATTCTTTTTTCCCTGTGGATGCAAATATCTTCTACTTCTTCCCTTCCCTAGCAGGTCTGACTGCCTCAGGCAAAGGACTTGCTGTTACAAGTATGAAACCTAATACAAGTTCCTTACTTTTCTGTGGTATCCCTGAAGTTAAGTCCACCAGTAAATGAAGCTAGTTGCTGCCTGAGAAGCTGTTATGAAAAGAAAGCTGACCTTGGGAAATTCCTTTTAATTGGTGTTTCATACAGAAGCAGCTGGAGCACATCTGTTGTGGTTTATTTGCTTTTCTGCAGCTGAGTTGGCAGAATTTCTCAAAGGCCTTCGCTATTGTATCCCACTAATTCTGGTGTCATTGCCCCTACAAAAAAAACCTAGTTTGCTCATAGAAGAATAAAGGATGGGACTCACCAAAGTTTCTCAAGTAAATACTCGCAGCATAGCGTTGACAGTGGCTTGCAACTTCAGGGCCTTTCCAACTCATTCGTTCATCCACTACCATAGAGATGGTATTGGGTACAAAACATGTAATCTTTCAATTTTAAAGAAAATTAAACCATAGAAAAGAGAGACTAGGGAATGACTGAGATACCTAACTATAAAAATGTATTTTCATAATAGAAGTCCTAGATTATCTGGAACAAGCACATGAGGCTGACCTATCCTGCATGGGATATATGGAAAAGCCAAACCTTTCTGGATTGACCCTTCTCAGATGCCAGAGTCACTTCCTAAATGACTCCTCTTGTCCCACATCTATGGAAACATGAATTAGAAGGTATGAGCTTTTAGATCCTCACCTTGTGCTCACATGACTGTACCATTCTTTGTTCACAGAGGTGATTTTTTTAACAGATGTCAATAAGCCAGACATATGGTACCAATCATTTGTGTTCTAGCATCTTTACAAATATATTTCTAATAACAGTTTATTTTACTGTGGTTTTAATCAAAGGTAATCAAATGCTTAATGTTCTGTGGGTTTAGCCAAAACAGAGACAATGAATACTTTGTATAAACAATGTAGTATATTCTCCTGTAAGTTACTCTAATAGTTATATTTATAGCAGACATCAGAAGATGTCTAGTGAGTGATTAACCAGTTACTACTAATCAGTTTTCAAGTCAGTTCCAGGATCACTTTACCTCTGACAGCAAAAAGATTCCTATATCTTATTAAAAGTAGAATAAAAAATACAGTTCACTTACACACATTGAAACTCAGTCAGCTAAGATTCTTTTTCTTCAGAAACACAAGTCCCACCTTACCTTCACTGTTACAAATCAGACCATGAGCACAAGGTGTGTACCAGCCATGGACCACTATTGCTGCAACGAACCACAGTGGGCTCAGCGGGCAGGGACTGTGCAAATATCTTCCCCCTTCAGTTCTGCCACCATGAGCAAGGACAGGTGGGCAGGTCAGGGAGACCAAGGTTTCTTTCTTAGAAGAGCACATTATGTAGATGCCTTCCATGGTTCCTCAGCCTGGCCAAAGACCATTAATAGGTCCCTGAATAGGAAGCAATTGTCATTTCCAGAGGTACCAGATCAGACCATATGATGGTGATTTTTGTCATGTGGTCACTTGTCTGTGGTGCTCTGAACTGGTCCACTTATGTTCAACCACTGATTCAGATCTGGATAGCAGTCAGGTGGTGAAGCTAGTATTCAGGTAAATCCATATACTGGAATCACTTAGAATCCCCTACATTTTTCCACTTTGGTACTCCACCAGAAAAATATTCCTTCATGATAAAAAAAAAACAAACATGTTGCATATGGACACTGTAAATTTACTATTGAAAATCTAAGTGGAAACTAGACCACTTCAATGAACAAAAGCCTTAGGGAAAATTGTGGTTTAGTGAAACTCCTGGCCTGACTATATCTTCTATAATCCCCCATTGTTTATCACACAGCCACAGAATTGTTGAGGTCCTCTGGAGGTCATCTATTCCAACAACCCTGCTCCAGGCAGGAGCAGCTAGGGGAGGTTGCTCAGGACCATGCCCAGACTGGTTTTGTGTATTTGTCTCCAGGAATGGAGACTCCACAACTCATCTGGGCAATGTGTGCCAGCATTCAACCACCACCACAGTAAAATGATTTTTCTTGTGTTCAGATAGAATTCTTGTCTTTCAGTTTGTGCCCACTGCCCCTTGTCTTGTCACTGGGCACTACTAGGAATACTCTTCCTTCATCTTCTCTACCCTGTCCCATCAGATATTTATGCACCTCAGTAAGGTCCCCCTAGAGTCTCTTGTTCATCGGGGAAGAAGTCATCCAGTGGAGTTGTTTGGATTGACCCAGAGAACTGCAGCTCTTTCAAGACATTCCTGACCATCAAATGGTCAGTTTTGAATCAGGCTTTTTCACCTTTTTAATTAAAATGGAAGATAAAATTTTCTTCAGAAATAAACACTTATTGAAGAAGAAAACTTTAAAATTTAAATGAAAAATATTTTTAAACACAAGATCTGACTGCCCCTGTGCTGAGCTGCCTACACCCTTTGTTGAGTCTGTTCTGTGCATTAGCTCAGCTATTCAATGAAGTCCCGTTACTCTGCCAAACTGAATGAAAAAATAAAATGAGAGTGTTCTTCACTTCTCTCTTGAAACCTAGCAATATTTCAGGTGGGTTTTTTTCCCAATGCAATAAGACTGGTGCTAATATGCTTTTAAAATAAATAGAATTATCATTGTTTCCTAGTTGAGGAAACAAACACAGAGGTAACACAATTTGCACAAGTCATTTGGCCAATGTCAGAAAAGAAAACAAAAAGTGGGTCTCCCATCTCTCTGCAGTGGGCTGTACAACCTCTCTAAAAAAATTCGAAATGTGTGTGGTTATTTTTATTTATTTCCACATGACTGGATTAAAAATAGGTTTTATTCAATGGCATAAAATGATTTTGCAGTGAAGGTCAGAACACCAGATGTATTATCTCTAAATAGCAGCTAATAATCTGCTAAAAAATAAAGCAAGCTGTTATTTCTCAAGCGTACCTGGAAGCTGTGCCTAGTGCTGTGATCCACGCCTGGAAAATCCCAGCAAGGAATGAAAATGGGCTTTTCCTTGTTATCACAAAGTAGAGCAGAGGCAGGAAGATCCCTCCATGGATGAGAAGACCCACAATCACAGTGACCATGTACATGCCAAGTTGTCTAGCAACTACTTCTAAATCCTTGATTGCAATGATTTTTCCACAGATGAGGCAAGCAATGCCCAAAGGGGAATACCTGGAGAAAGAGAATAAGCACAGGCAGAACTAGACTTTGAAGCTTACTTATAAAAATAGTACTCAATCAAGTATAGACTGGAGAAGAGTAGAAGACTCATCTTTTACAATATAATGGCCATCTTCAGCAATTTTCCCATCTACTTCATTTTATTCCATTCCATCAAATAGAATATGCATTTCCTGAATAGTTTCTGATCCTGAAATAATATCTTACAAGACTACTATAATGTTACACAGGCTTGGATCATTATAAAGAGTGGTGCAGCATTTCTTCTTAATACATAGCCTTTACAGCCCATTGCTCATATGGTTTCAGGGAGTTGCATTATTTCTTTCATTTAAGCTATTTGATGAAATGAATTGCTTTTATCTTGAAGGCTGCAAATGTTTCCATTATGTTCTTTCAATAATTTGGACAAATTCTTTTTGGTTTATATGTTCTTCATTAATTATGTGCTTTCCTTGCTTAGGGTAGGGTTTTTGTCACCTCAGTCATGTGATTTCCTGATCCCATAAACGGAACTTTTAAATAGGATGATAATGGTAGTGCAGTTTGATAATTGCAAAAAAATGGAAATGAAGGGGTATTATTTAAAAAATTTAATAATCATCTACAGTGAAAAATGTCTGAAAGTGCACTGACAGAAGACAATATTTATACTTACACTGGTAAAAGTTAGTGTATTATGTAATTTTAAGTGACGTTCACTTTCTCTATCTGTTTATAAAACTTAAACTGACAGAAAGTAATGTGCACAACATGGAGAAACAGTAAACAAAATGCCTCTGAAAATAAATGGTAATGTATAGTTTCAAAAGTGATTAGTGATTTGGATGCTTGATTAAAGACAATACAAAGGAAACTGACTTTCAGAATAAAAAGTGCTTCGTGTTTTCTGTAAGAAACATCTCATGGTCTTTCAAGCAACACGCCCAAAACCTGGAGAGCCCTCAGACCCTTGAAACGCAAGGCCAGCTGTTATACCAGTTATCATGTTTCAATGAACTTGATGAAGCATTTTTCTTATAAAGAATTACATGGTGTAAGAGCCAGATATCTGATTTGGTTTATGTTTGTGTAGCAAGGCCATGCTCCTCAGATTCTGGAGTTGCCACGGGAATTACAGCTTTGTGTGCAGAGAAATCATAAACCAAAGAAAAGGTAACTGCATAAACAAGTGCATTTGTCTTTATAAACACACATTATAAAAAAAGCCACCTGTTTCTGGCCACAACAATTCTTTAAAAATTGTAGAGAGAGATGAAAAAGTGGAATTCCCAATGTCAATCTCCTTTCTCACAAACAGAGAAATAAAAAGCACATCAGTAAGAAATAACCATTTACAGTGAAAGTCTTGAAACTGGAATGATTTCCTGCCATTGCAACTCTGACAACTAGAGAAAAAATATACTGGAACAAAGTATTATGTCTTGGGTGTACCAACTGGTGCTAAATGAAGTAAGAGTGAATTCTAGCTGTTGGGGTGTTATGAGAGTATAGTCACCATCTCTCTAGAGAGTGGAAAGCAGCAGGTTACATTAACCGTTGAAAGGAGTAGGGCTTTGTGAATAAAAAACCCTGTGTTTTTATGCAGCAAGATAATCTACCAAAAAAAAGCAGAAGCATAACAGGAACACAAAGTCATTGCTTCAAGTTCTTTCTTCTGTTCCTACACATTTCCACATCACTACTGCTATCTGCATCACTCTTGCATAACAGGCTCCCTCTGAAACACTGATGAAGCTGAAGACTTCAGGCACGCTGCTCCCTTTTCTATAAGCTGTGTCCATCTAGAGCCTCAGAGAGGCTCTGCAGCCCTGTAACTCAGGAAATCACTTCCAGGGACACCAGGGAATCACAGGGAGCAATGAGCCAAGATACGTGTGTTTTAATGGAGTGGCTATTTCTGCCCTCCAAGACCTAGGAGATACAAAACACAGTAGTTCAGTGCCACATGTAGCAATGCATTTTTATGTTCTGAAAAGCTGGTTTTGGTGTGATATGGCCACACTTGGCTCTGTGTACAAATAGCTCTGGGGAAGCCCTCGGAAGAAACATCTCCAAAAAAAAGAGAGAGAATCCCCTTCCATCCAGAAATGTAAACAAGGGCTTGGTTTTGATCGGGTAAAGCCAGTCCCTTGAGGCAAGCCAGGCACTGTTATTACAAATGGGTATACTTCAAAACCAGGACAGATACTTCCAGTGACCCCATTGTGGTGAGGTTGTAAGATACAGATTCTGCAGAAACTAGGGGTGGAAGGGCCACACATCACTGAAAACCACAGGAATTTTATTTGGTAGTAAAGTATTTTTATACAGAAGACAGTGAATAAAGTCCGTTTTCAGGTTTCTTTGTAATTATGCCTCCTAGCTAATACGGTGGGATTACGTAAGCCTCCCAGGAAGATTTGGATGTTCTTATGTGGGGACTTGCCTGCTTAGGTGTCCTTCTATATAATGAACTTTCATAATCGGTGTGGTATTTGAAGGCTTTTGCTGGTACCTGCATGTCTCGGATTTCAGTAAACAAAGAACAGAATACCTTCAGAAATATTTCAAATTGCATCCTAAATCATCTTCACCAAATAGAAATAATGCTGCTGTGGTTCTAACATACCTGTCAAAGCTTTAAAAAATGAACTATTTCATTACATCATTTGCTAACAAACTGTGGTCACTATATGCCATATTAGGGTTTTATTAGGGTTTTTGAATTTTTTTTTGTTCTAAAAGTTAGAACTTCAAACTTACCACATGATCATAGTCACTAACTTCATTACAATCTCATTCAGGATGTTGAAGAAATCCACCATCATCTTGGCCTGTTCTCCCATTTTCCCCATAGCAATGCCAAAAGCAATAAAGAATCCTATTAAACCTATTGGGAAAAAATTGCAAGACAAAAAACCCCAAGTAAAACCATGTTTATTAGGAAGTTTTTGTACCTAGACAATCTCTTGATACTACCTGCTAATCCAGTTTTCAGAACTATTGTGTATTATGCATCTCTTGGGACTTTTTAATATGTCTCAACTTCCATGATCATATTTATAACATCTTTTATTCTTCAATATTTTACTAAATTGCAATTTCACAGCACAGCTACGTTTTTTTTTTCTTTTTTCATGAACTGATCTGATCATCAATTAAATACCTATACCATAATCTTCTCAGTGTCACGAAACTGTTAGAAACCTCATAGCCCCTGGCAAATGGGAGAGGCAGCACAGCGCTATATCATGACTCTTCTTTATTGCAAAAGTGGTCACTAGAGACCAAGAACTTTTTTCCCAAGCTTTACAAAAGTCCCTTGACAGATTCAACCTACAGACTAGTCATTCCTGGAGTACAGGGAAAGGCAAAAGTGGCCCCAGCAGGAGTATTCCAGTTAAATTAAGAAGGTGGGGGTGGGAGGAGAAGGCGGGTATTGCACTTTAAGCTAAACCACAGAACACCCATTAAACAGATTAACCTCACTGAAAGCAGCTATCAGTGGATACATAATCATAGAATTCAATATGAGTAACATTTGGCTCCTAAATTTAAATGCTAAGGTGTGAAATGCTGGAGCATTGGACTATCAGTGTGAAAAAACAACTGAGTGCATCTGTCATGCCTTACTTTGGAGCTGTGTCTCCAACGCTGGCCTTTACCATCCAGTGATTTTCAGCCCCCAGAGTGGGATTATTAACTGATACTGATGGTTTGAATCTTCAGCCACCCTTTGAAGCTAAACTTTCAGTCATGATGCAAGTTCAGTATTTAACATACGTGTGAACTCAGTTGGGTAATTCCGAAGGAAAAACCCATCAGGACACAAAAGCATTCAAGAGAGGGGAATTTGAGCTATCAGTACTCTGGGAAAAGACAGGCTGGCCCATATCTTCACAATGGGTTTAGCAATGGTACTTTTTTTTTCTTTTTTTTTTTTTTTTAATCAAATTTCCTGGATAGGAAAAAATATGGTAACACTTAAGAGTTCAACAACAAACAAGAGCCAGTCATTGACTTGTTGCAGTTAGTCTATCCCCCTTGAAGTCTATGAGACGAGCGCATGGGAGCTAAGAATCTGGCCCTCTGTCCTATGGGCAGTCTTGGATCAGATAACACAGATGTGTTAGATTAAGGACAGAACCTTATAAAATAAAGCACTAGGAATTGTTCTTTTTTTTTTTTTTTTTTTTTTTTTTAATCAAATCTCCTGGATACAAAGTCATTCTTTAGCACCAAGCTATCTCTGTTGAGTCACTTGAACAGAGAAGTGTATGTTTGTGTGCTGCAGAGCATGGGAAAACGATGAAAAGCTTTTCAGTCAAAGACCAAGTAACTTTCTGGAATTCAGACTCTGCATCGGAAGAAGCCAATAGATGGTTTTGTTCATTAATTCCAAATGAGCTGCTACATTAGTCATAAGAGTCACGTTGGTCCATATTTGCAGGAATTTGCCTGGCTTGTACAGTTTGTGCAAGCTGGATGGCAATTCCCCAACATTTTCACTTCTTCATTCAAAACCAAACCACACCAAATCAAAAAACTCAGCAACATTTGGGAGTCATTGGTTAAAATACTATAGTAAATCCCCCACCTCAACTGTGTATTTCCTTTCTGTAGGAATTGTATTCAGCCTTCTAGCTCTTCTTATCCATGACAGAGCCTGCACAAAACAAGTCCAGTACTAAATGTAATGCATCTCTCACATTAGAAATGCATAGGCAGAGCTCCAGGAGAGAAAAAAGCAGGTGAGGGTAACAGCATGAGCAATGAGCTGCTGCCTCACACAGGGTGCAAAATGCTAGTTTGCAGCTTTGAAAGAAAGTGGGTCCTCTGCCCACAGATGTTGAACGGAAGGAGGAATTGTGGAGGCAGGCATAACACAGTGCTCTTGTAGATCAGTCTGTTTCACAGAGAAACAGATCCTCTTACATCTAAGCAAAGTAGTCACTGCCAACAAACTCACCAACACCCAGAAAAGCTCTGCAGGCACAGCAGCCACTGTGTCAACAGGCAGCTCATCAGCTGTAAGGAGTCTATAAGGGGCCACTTGCTCCTAAAAAGTGATGGCCTAGTGGTGAGATAAAGCAGTGGTTTAGATACTTAGAGTGGACATTAGGAAAAAATTATTCTCAGAAAGAGTGGTCAGACACTGGAATAGGCTGCCCAGGGAGGGGGTTGAGTCACCATCCCTGAATATGTTTAAAAGAGGTGGTGTTGGGGGATATGGTGTAGGGAAGAACTTTGTAGAGTGGGGTTGATAGTTGGACTTGATGATCCCAAGGGTCTTTTCCAACCTGAATGATTCTATGATTCTATATTGTCCCACTTTGAGGATGACACCTATAAACGTAGGTGTCAGCCTGGACATGCTGCCACAGTGCATGTGTATCTTCAAGTGTAGGCATGCCAATGAGGCTACAAATTGAGACCTAATTTGTGACTAACTTCACCCACCTCAAGAAAGTAAGAAGGTGCGCAGGAGCACTCCTCTCTGGGATGGCAAAACAGTGAGTCTAGGCACAGAGGAGAAAATAGAAGTGGAGTGGCAGCTCTTTCCTCCCCCGCGCCCCTGCTCCAGTCCAAACAGGTGCTTCAGGAAGGAGCAGAAGATAGGCAAAGCCTGTGTACCACCCCTACTTGCTGGCTTGTCCAGACAGGATGGCATGACAGCAGTTGTTCATAATTTGCAGCTGGTAAAGGTCAGCAGCCAAGATGAAAGAATGAGGGAGTGGTGACTCAGAGCTGTGTCAAGCCTCTCTGGGATTTTTCTTGGGTGGTGCGGTTCACACCCTACCTCTCACTTCAGGCTCTGCCTCAAGCCAAATTGTAGTTCAGCATGCATGAGACACCTATTGGAAACAACTCAGCTCAAACTCATCAGGGGCTGGGTAAAGCACTGGCCCTTGAAGCTCTCCCCCATACTGTTTTGCCAATATGCATTGGTATTAGTCTAGGTAGGTTGCTTCTAGGATGAAAGGATATTTTGGGTACCTCCTACATGCTTCCCCACTGTACTCCAGTTAATACCTGCAAAGCTGCCAATCCAGAATAATCCACTTGATTGTTTCTGTGATACAGTCGTATTTCTAGTTAGATCATTAGATTTTCACCTCAGAGACCAATGGGCAGCCAGTGAGTGATAACATTTGATGATTATTTGGGGAGACTAAACTTGAACTGAAGAGATCACACAAAACTGGCTAGCCAGTCACAGCCAAAAGCTGTGTCATACATGACACACATATTTGACAGGCAAAAAGTTTTCCTACCCAGGACATTCATGCCATCCTTAAATTCAAGTCCCTTCTTAATGACCAGCTGGGCTTCTGGTGCTGCTTCACGCACTGTGTCATTCATCATAGCAAAAGCAGAGTCTGTGACATTTGGTGGTTCCTCAATGGGTGGTGGCACCAGCACTTTCTTGGTGACAGTCTGGATCTGAAGGCAATAAAAACGGAGGATGAGAATGGAAACAGACTGAATGTAATCCATATGCAAGATCAGGAAATAATCCCAGGGAACTATATTTTTAAAGGATTAGACATGCATTTCAGAACCTCTTACACATTCCTCCAAAAGCAAGTTTGCTTTTCAATAATCACAAGTGTTACAAAGTCCCAAGAGTCTTCCTCATTATTCTAGTGTGAAAAGTAGGGCAAATACTTGTTCCTTACAGCTAGGATGTCACATTTTACAGAACGTTAGCCCCTATACCCAGATGGTTCACAAATGGTGCTTCACAGATTGTATGTTACATGGAGATACCATTGATTTAGCACCAAAAGGCAAGGACCTCTAAGATCAGTCACAGCAGCAACTCTGCAGAAAGGCTTGTTAATCAGGATGGTCTGCCCAGCTCAAGTTATCATAGTTAGTTTGATGGTTAACTTGAATCCAACACTTCACTTGGTGACTGCGAGGGCTCAAAATGGAATAGACACAGTCCCCTGAGCTCTCAAATTAAAATATTGTGAGTGATAGATAGCAGAAAAATTATCAAAGCTGCCAGATACCTATTAAATCAAATCTGACCACCTAAAAAAAAGAAGACATCAGCATCTGGACCCCTGCTGGCACATGAAAGGCAGGGTCAAGGGAAAGCTGAGAAGGAATGGTAGGGGAAGAAATAGCTTGAGTTTATGGCTAGGAAAAAAGGGAGGAGGCAGTGGGAAAAGAGAGATCTGTGACTTGCTCCTTTTAGAAGGGACGTTTTCCTCCCACTTCACACCTTGAACCTTTCTCACCTCCTCATGGCTCTGGGACAGGCAAAACAGTCAGGAAGCTATGACCGGTTTGCCATGGTTTTCCATCTGCTCCCTACTTTCCTTGTTCCTAGAAACATGTTTGATCAAGGCATCAGAAATGATGCATTAGATGCACAATTTTCCTGTTGAAATGGACATTGCAGTACTATCGATGATGATACAGATTCAATCCATATATTTTAAGACTGTAAGATTTTAAATTACCTTATGTCTTTCCTTTCAAAACCTGCTGTCTAAGTCTAGAGAGGGGGATGTAGAAAGAAAACTTACATATCTTTGTATGAGAAACTCTTCAGTTGTCCTGAAACAACAAAACATTCCTGCACATTTAAATTTTTTTCAAAGTTTATTTTTATCTGAGGGATACTGTCAACAGTTTTTTTCATGTGAGGTATCCAGAATGTAAGAACAGAGTCATAGAAACTAAACTTAAAACATTACACTCTACACGCTCACAAATTCCACTACAGTCACTTAAGTCAAAGGTCCTCAGTCCTTCTTTGCACAAGGCCGCAGTCACTAAAAATTCTGAGCCTAAAATCAAGTTTAGATTCTGACACCAACATATGAGGCTAGAAATCCATTTAGATGTCACTATCATGTTTATAGATGATAGTCTCATTCTCTTTCATGGCACATCTTAAGTCACTGCTGAAATAGCAGTTTTCAGTATAAACAAAGTCTTTCTTGCAGACCATACAAAAATTCAAGAGATCCTGAAACCCCATGAGATGGTTCAGTGTGCAAATGAACTGTCTCAAAAGTGCAATTGAATCCCAGCATTGCTTTCTGCCTGGTGGCAAGGAAATGCATGGAAAACTCCCCCGCAGACCATGGCTACACGGTGCCATTGCTCTGCACCCTTCAAAACCATTCTTCACAGAATTTCTGCAAAAAAATTGCTTCTTCCTAAGGCAACCTGGAAACACTGAATGCTCACAGAGAGAGTCTGTATAAATGTAGGAAGAGAAAATATATGCTGACGCCATTAAAAGCAGTTAATTTTCCTCCTACAAAAAAGAGAGAGATACATAAATCCTAACTCCTTACTGAGCAGTTAAGGGCTAACAGAAGGCACAAGTTCCATCTGGGAATGAGTGTGACTTACTTTGCAAATGAACGGTGGCTTTGTGGCAGAGGCTTTCTTTGGCAATTAGTATGGAATCTGGTAAAATCAAACACTGGAAAGCACAAATACTCAGTAGCTTTTTTGACTAAGTTTAAAAAACAATCAGTGGCATTGGTGATCCAGAACTAATCAAGTGGCCTGAACACTGATAAAACACACCCTGGAAAAGCAATATTAAGGTTCAAATAAAACTATCTGACATGGGTGGGTAGCTTAATTCTTCTTTCTCCCACTTTTTGTCCCTTTATTGAGATATGTGACCACTTTCAACTGACCAGAAATCTAAGTCTCCTCTCTTCCAGAGTTTAAACGCGGGAAAGGAAGAAAAAAACACACGCCCCCTGCTCTCCCCTCACTCAGTTTTGCAAAAATACATTTCACATTACACGTGGTGTTTGGCCACCCACAGTTTGATCACGTGACTGACATTCCCATGATGATTTGGAAACACTGAGAACATTCTCTCTTTAAATCCCCAAGGACTATGGCTTTTTTATGTGGAAGAAGTCCATGGAAGAAATGAAGCAATCCAAGCCCTTTTGGCAGCTTAGGCTGCCCTTCGTTCTTCCACCCTGCATGGCCTCTTCTCCCTTCCCCCTCTTCTCTTCACTTTATTCTTCGGCCATTACCCCAGCTCCAGCTATAATGCCATTTCACATAGGAACACTTAAGAACAGGTTTGGCAACCAACCCTGTTTCATAACATAAAAAAAAAGTCTGCGTTATTGCCAAACAATTTAGTTGTAGGAAAAAGCAGCTTATGTACAAGAAATATGTTTAAGCAGAAAACTGAAACCATGCATTTTTCATTTATCTTACCCCTTGAAGTGAAGCTGTTTCGATTAAGCATTGGTGAAAAGCTTTTAGACAAAAATATCTACCTACAGAGCAAGCGACACAGTGCAAGCATGCTTCTTGCCCAGCGTACTTCAAACCTGGCCTGATGGAGCCACCTGTAGGTGGGTCAGCCACTGGACCGTACTAACCCACCTAGTCTGGACTCTAATGCAGAAACAGAAGTTATGAGAGTTTTGGTTTTGGGGTACATTTCCACTGGCAAACAGCTGGAATGAAGTTCATCCATATATTACAAACAGGGCATTGCAGAACCATCAGCTCTGTAACTAACAACCAAGATCAAATTCAACCCGGGTGAAAGATCCCATAATTTAACAGCTGTTCAGCCCAAGCCAGCATTTAAGACCATATATATTGTATAAAAAGTGAGGAAAAAAAATTAAATTTACTTAATAACAAACTAAAAACCATCTTCTTAAAAAATACGAATTTAAATAATAACTGCAACATAAACTGAAGCAGCTATAAATCATGTTCTTTCATTTACCCACTCAAGACTTAAGACCTGTATTTCTCTTTGCATCATCATTTCTGTCATCCACCTAAACAATGACATTAACTTTACAGACATCCCTGGTAAGTAAAAGATGTAAAAAATATTACCAAGGAGTAGAAGGATTTACCTGCTGAAAGCATGCTTGGACTAGATTTTCAGGAAACAGGTTTCGGATCAAATCCAAGAAAGCATCCAGACTAGATACTTCATCATTCTTCTTCCCTTGACCGAGCTGTTTCTTGAGTTTCGGATTCCCTGGATGGATGGCTAAAACCAAAATCACGCCCAGCACAGCAGCAATTATAGTGGTGGACATGTAGTAGACCATGGCTCTTGTACCCAATCGGCCACTTGCTTTAGCATCTAAACCAGACAGTCCTGCAGGTTTTTTATTTTAAGAAACACAAAAATACTTTTATTTTAAGAAACAAAAATATTTTAAGAAACACAATTGGATATTGAGACTCAATACCCAATTTAATAATCATCAAATAAAATCCTTTATAATTTGCAAAGTTTAATGACTGCCTCCAGGTGCGTACTTTTGTCCTTGTGATATGCTCACCACTAGAGATTACTGAAGCTTCTGTTGCCTGATCTTATGTGAGCAATGTCTGGTGCTACTAATTTGAAGAAAACCACTTAAGATTCCATCTCAACACAGAGGAGGAATCGAAAAATAGAGACGATATCATACCATCTTTTGCCCTTGATTGCTGTGAACTGGTCATAGTCGGCTAAGCTGTCTTAAAGTTGACACCACAGCTTTAAGAAGGCTAGGCTCGCCAATGGCATGCCATCTTATTTGCAAGATCCAATGCAGGAATTAGGTAAAATAGCATATTAAGAAATTTCTGATGTTCAAGAAGTTGTATAAGTGCATGTGTTTGAAAATAAATTCACTGGAGCATCTGTGCATCAAAGCCAATGAAGATAATCAGAAATTAACTCTGAAATACACACTGCAACCGCAAAATCCCTGACAGAATCACACTATTATTCAGTAAACCAGGTGATATCTGTAGCAAGCATCTTAAAGTCTTTATGGCTAATAGATCTTACCTGTGATTAAACTGGAGATAATTAAAGGGAGGATCAGCATTTTTAGCATCCTCATAAGTATATCTCCTGGGAAGGCTATTAGCATGATGATGTCAGGGTCAATAGGTGTTGCCAGACGAAGAAGACCCCCACACAGTGCACCCAGGATGACACCTGGAAGAAGAATAAAAGAGAGCAAGTAGGTAACATAAACATACCTGATTGTACGTTGATTACACAGAAGAACAGTCTAGAGGAAAAACAGTTGAACAAAGCAGCTGTTTTGGTACCGAGAGAGACTCTTGGAAGGTTCAGCCTTCTGATTAATACAAGACTGTAACATGCTTACCATGTACCTCCTGATTACAGAGAAGTGGTCCTGATAGAGAAATGTACTATTCCCTTTCCGCAAACACAAATTTGCTGCAAACCACAATGTTATTGAGGTTTACTAATACCGTGTAGGCCTTGCAATACAGCGAGGGATAGTCAAATATAATTTATATCATTGTTCTTCAGCTGGCAAATTTAAGACACCAAGAGGTGAATTGATTTATCTAAGGCCATACAGAACTGACAGAAGAGCCAGGGTTAGCAGCCAGGTCTTCAGAGCATGATAGCTCGCCCTCAGCATAAGAATGGTACCCCTTGAGAACCAAGTCAGCACCAGTAACTATTTTACACCCTAAGAAAAACCCTGCAGGAAAGCTAGAACAGTCTTGTGAGGAAAACAGATTCAAATTTTGGTTTGGGGTTTTGAAAGGGACTGCCTGACCGGAAATACTGCACCTACCATTGAAGAAAACTTGATTCTTACTACTCATTTATTACTCCTGCCCTTTCATGGTCTGCATCATTCTCCTTGTGCTAATGTTCTCAAATCACAACCAATCTCTTCATCACTTGTTTAGATTTGTACAGTCATAACACCTAAACCCCTCTTTCAGGATTGAGGCTGTTAACAGAAAAAAAGGCCATGTTTACTTTCATAGCATGGTCTTTGTGAATGGATATTTTATGTTTACATCCAGAATACCTTTCTTTTTCTGATCCCAAGCCCAGGTCTCAAATGTAATAAAACTTGACAGCAAAGCGTGAGTTGTGATTTGCAGCACCTATAACTCTTAGAAGTATCAGTTTGATATAATGGAAAATATATGTGCATTTAAAACTTTTTCTGGAACTGCATCAGGCACCTTCTAAAGATGATTCAAAGCAAATACTAACTAAACACTTCGGCAGGATGGGTTTTGAAGGCTGAAAAATATGGATGTGAAATTTGCAGCTCCAGACTAGCTGCAGCTGGTCTTTCAAACAATAAAAAAAATAGATTGTGTCTATGAATTTGTTGCATTTGGCTGTTAGGCTTTGAGTGAAAAAGAAACAGGCAAAGAGCCAGCGAACCACAATAAAATGTCAAACTGTTCCATATTTGGAAGCTGCTAAAGCCAGAGGCAATATTCAGGATGAGATCATGGAGCGCTGGCTTACAGCTACAGAGAGGGGGATAAACTTTAAAAACAGTGGAGAGTGAACTGAGAGATAAAAGATGAAGTAAAAGAAATTTTGAAGAGTTTTTATCTCTATTTCAAATAACTGAGAGGAAAAGAATGTGTAGTGTATTTAGTTCTACTGAATGACATAGATCTGACAGGCCCTGGGACTTCGTTCACGCTCCATTCAGCAGCAGACCCAGAATGTGTCTCGGTGGTGTGGATCTGCTCCGTGCAACACCCTGCACACCTGAGCTACGGCGACAACGCCTACGGGCATCCCACCCACCTTCTGCCTGTGCCACTGGGAAAGCCGAGGACCACACACGGGGTCTGTGGTGCCACATGGACAGATACAGATAAAGACGGAAGGCTGAGCCCAGCAGATGTATCTTACCGAACACGGTGAGAGTCAGAAGCAGATTCCTGCGGAGCGACTGGCAGAACTGCACACATATGTTCCTGGATCTGTGCTCCACTGGACTTAAATGACTTTCATGCATCCGCACTTCTACTTGCTTAGGCATATTGTTGGCACTAGAATGAAAAATTAAAAAGAAGTAACAGTTATAGCACAGGATGCCAGAAGTGAGAGGAAAGTCTGGATGACTTCCATCATATATAAGTGGGGAATCTGATGCATATTCCAGTGCTTCCCACATTTCACAAGCACTGTGTATTTGCTGCTCTGAGGAAGTTTCTGAAACGCCAATGGTTTCTTTTTCTAAAGGTGTTGCCGTTAAAGTACTTTTTGTGGTTATCTCAAGCGGTGGAGATGTAACCAGAATGAATTCACTGGACACATCATCCCAATTTGTTCCATGGACTAAACTATTGGTCTTGAGCTGGAAAATTCAGTTTCGCCAAAGATCATGGCTGTCTACTTAAATAGGAGAGATGCCTGAAAAACAAAGTTTCTATTATCATGAAAATGCAGATTTTAATACCTTATTTAATTCCAATTCAGGAAAAGAGTTTTAAAATGAGGATTTATTTGCAAAATAAAGCTTTCCAGAATATTTTGCCTAATCTTCCCAAAACACTTCATTTCAACATTAACATTTTATTGTAATATAGTCAATATGCTGAGGTCAAAAGAATCTTTTTCCGTTTGGTTCTAATGAGACTTGAACAACTGCCACTGACAATTAGTCAGAAAACTATGCATTCCCCAAGAAAATATTTGGTTTCATTGAATTGGCAGTGTTAAGAGGAAAAAGTTTTTTTACTAATTCTAGTTTATATTTGGGTAAGTGATATGCACATGAATGCAGGACTCTGAAAGCCATGCCTCTAACTTTCTCAATGCCTGAGAAACCATTAGCAATAGACTCCATATTAAAATGTACTTGAAAAAAATACTAAAAATACGACTAGAAATAAAACAAAGTTTCCCTAAAAGTTGAGGCTGTCTACTTAAATAGGAGAAATGGGAAAAGAACAATTTTTTTATTATCAAGAAAATATATTTTTGGGAGCTTTCCAGATCAGGGCAAGATGTTAGAAAAAGGAAACCAAATCTTCCTCTGCAACAGTAGACTGAGGTCTACAGACCTAAAACAAGTCTGAAGAGATATATAAAGTTCCAATGTTCTCAGTACTAAACCATTTCCAGGGAATCAAAACTTATTTTTTTATTGTTACATAAAATGTAGCTTGTTGTCTTCATAGTTTTTCAACAGAAAGTTACGATTAGACCTGTAATGTCCAAATACCCCTAGAGAAGAGAAGGACACAAAGCTCTTTAAGAACATTCCAAAATTTCCAGGAACTTAATACCATATTGTGAGCCTCCCTGAAGTGCAAAATATGGGTTTTACAATCTCCAACTCATCAAGATCACAAGTGAACCTTCAGCATGGACTGAAATTCTGCTTGATATGGGTTTTTTAAAGAAAAAGACCCAGTACTAAAATATTCTAACCACACAAATCTGTTACAAAAAGCGTTGACAGATTAATATCATCACATGAAAAATGGTACTACAAAGGATAAAAATCTAAGAGTTTGCACTGTTAGCACTGTCTTAGCAATGAGATTGTACAGTTCCAGGCTTTTGAGTGTATTGCAGGGGGTGCAATATGTCCCAGAACATCCTCATTAGAAAATTAAGGAAGTGTGGGATAGATAAGGGGGCAGTGAGGTGGATTTAGTCCTGGTTGTGTGACAGGACTCAGAGGGTTCTAATTAATGGATTGGGGTCAAATTGGAGGCCTGTGACCAGTGGTGCTCCCCAGGGGTCAATACTTGGCCCAGTCCTGTTCAACATATTCATAAATGACCTGGACGAGGGGACAGAGTATATCCTCAGCAAGTTTGCTGATGATGCCAAATTAGGAGGGCTGGCCGACACCCCAGAGGGCTGTGCCACCATCCAGCATGACCTGAACAGGCTGGAGAGGTGGGCAGAACCTAATGAGGTTCAACAAGAACAAATGTAAGGTCTTGCCCCTGGGGAGGAAGAACCCCAGGCACCAATACAGGTTAGGGATGGATCTTCTGGGAAGTACTACTGAGGAAAAGGATCTGGGAGTCCTGGTCGATAGCACACTTTCCATGTGCCAGCAAGGCCCCCTTACCAAGAGGGCCAATGGGATCCTGGGCTGCACAGGGAAGAGTGTGGCCAGGAGGTGGAGGGAGGTCATTCTCCCCCTCTGCTCTGCACTGGGGAGGCCACAAGTGGAATCCTGCGTCCAGTGCTGGGCTCCCCAGTTCAAGAGGGACAGGGAACTGCTGGAGAGAGTCCAGCGAAGGGCAACAGAGATGATGGAGGGATTGGAGCATCTCCCTGATGAGGAAAGGCTGAGAGAACTGGGGCTCTTTAGCCTGGACAAGTGAAGGCTGAGGGGAGATCTTACTTATATTTATGTTTCTAAGTATCTAAAGGGTGGGTTGAAGGAGGATGGAACCGGACTTTTTTCAGTGGTTTCCAGCGATAGGACAAGGGGCAATGGGCTCAAGCTGGAACATGGGAAGTTCCATTCAAACATGAGGAAAAACTTCTTTGGGGTGAGGGTGGCAGAGCCCTGGCAGAGGCTGCCCAGGGAGGTCGTGGAGTCCCCTTCTCTGGAGATCTTCAAGACCTGCCTGGATGCTCCTGAGTGATGTGCTCTAGGCGTTCTTCCTTTAGCAGGGGAGTTGGACTAGATGATCTCTAGAGGTCCCTTCCAACTCTGACAATTTTGTGATTCCGTGATTCCGGGTGAGGGGGAGGGAGAGGAGGGGAAAAAATAATGAAGTAAAAATCTTCTACAAAAGATAAGAGAAGCTTCTTGTGTAGGACATGAGAAAACCAGTATTTTGCACAAGAATTTTTCTATCTAATTACTAGAATATGAAAATCTGCTTGACCTCTGAATCATGTAAATTAACTTGTGTCTTATGGACTGACTTACAGAATCACAGAATGGTTAGAGTTGGAAGGGACCTTAAAGATCATCTAGTTTCAAGCCCCCTACCCTGTGCAGGGACACCTCCCACCAGACCAGGTTGCTCCAAGCCCTGTCCAACCTGGTCTTCAACACCTCCAGGGATGGGGCAGCCACAGCTTCTCTGGGCAACCTGTTCCACTGTCTCACCACCCTCACAGCAAAGAATTTGTTCCTGAGATCTCATCTAAATCTCCCCTCTTTCAGTTTAAAACCATTCCCTCTTGTCCTATGGCTCCCCTCCCTGATCAAGAGTCCCTCCACATCTCTCCTGGAGCCCCTTTAGGGACTGGAAGGGGCTCTAAGGTCTCCCTGGAACCTTCTCTTCTCCAGGCTGACCAACACTAACTCTCTCAGCCTGTCCTCACAGCAGAAGTATTCCAGTCCTCCAATCATCGTCGTGGGCCTCCACTGGGCTCTTTCCAACAGGTCCATGTCCTTCCTGTGCTGAGGACTCCAGAGCTGGACACAGAGCTCCAGGTGGGGTCTCACAAGCGCAGACTATACGGGCAGAATCACCTCCCTCACCCTGCTGGCCACACTTCTCCTGATGCAGCCCAGGATACGGTTGGTTTTCTGGGCTGCCAGCACACATTATTGGGTCATGTGAGCTTCTCATCCCCAGGAGCTTCTCAGGGCTGCTCTCCAGCCATTCTCTACCCAGCCTGTATCTGTGCTTGGGATTGCCCCGACCCAGGTGCAGGACTTTGCACTTGGCCTGGTTGAACTTCGTGAGGTTTGCACAGGCCCACCTCTCCAGCCTGTCCAGGTCCCTCTGGATGGCATCCCTTCCCTCCAGCGTGTTGGCCATGCCACACAGCTTGATGTTGTCAGCAAACTTGATGAGGGTGCACTCAATCCCACTGTCCATGTCTCCAACAAAGATGTTAAATAATACTGGTCCCAGTACTGACCCCTGAGTAACACCACTCATCACTGGTCTCCACTTGGACATCGACCTGCTGACCGCAACCCTTTCAGTGCAGCCATCCAGCCAGTTCCTGATCCACCAAGTGGTCCATCCATCCAATCCATGTGACTCCAGTTTAGAGACCAGGATGTCATGCAGGACAAGTCATCATCCTTGTGCTGCTTTTGTGTCTCTATTTGCACCTTGAAAATGGTATTTACCTCCAGCAGAATGAAGAACTTTTTGCGCCTGAAACCTGCAGTCACATAATGCCATAACTGCAAGAAGTTCCCACTGAAGTCAATGGAAGATACACTGATGTAAATTAGGGCAGAATCTGGGCCCTTATGGAACTGATTCCCCTGCATGTGTCCCACTCCTCTGCTGTCTGTCACTAACATTAGTGCACGCTCACATGCACCTCTTCACTCCATACCATGAAGGCCACAGTGCCATGTTAAAGCATGCAGGGAAGGGTCTTAAATATGTGTAAGGCTTTCTGGTGCTTCAGATTTTCTTTCTGAAGGAAAAAATTAATGCACGACAGAGTAGAGCTTGACTGCACCCCAACTCATTTGCAGTGCTGGGACTCATATGCAAAGCCAGAAGTGTACCAACACCATGAGCCCCTCCTATGCAACTGACCACCACTAATATAATCTCTATGTTAATGGCACCTCTGTAAGTAAACAGGGATGTACCACAAAACAGTGCAGAATGTGTTTTAGCAGCTGTGGTCTTTCAAACTTGCAAATTATTACCTTGGTCAAATAAATCATTGAAGCTCAGTGCAAGCTTCTATGGCTATTCAAACAAACAAAGCATTCTGAATGCTCCTTTGAAACCCATCAGACCAAAACTTCTTTTAGTCTAACTTCACTGGAGCCAAAACATGACAATATAAATTAATTCTGCTCATTATTTTCATATGTCATTGTGAAAAGAAGCCAAATAGCTAAGCTCCAAAATAGGGCCACAGAGAGTTTTAAGAACCGAGACCTTCAAAGACAATATTTTCTGCCAACTACAGATGCTTGAAAACTTTGTCAGGAATTATAAAAAATGAACCAAATATTGAAGAATGTGTAGTCACATGAAACAGCACATACCAAGAGCTAGACATATGTGGTGGCTTTTGAATGACTGAGTATGATCTTCTGCCTAGCCCAACATCACCTATCCTTCTCCCTTTTGAGGCA